TTATTTCTACTTTATTTCGACTACCAAGGAATATTTCTCTAAAATGTCCCTAATGGGAGCTAACTTGTCCATCCAATATTGACCAAAATATCATGTCCCTCCACAACAGAAATATCTATATATTGGTGAGTGGTGAAGGTATTTTTTTTTTTTTAATCATGGTACTTCGTTCATTATAAATAAGACTAAATATGCCGACAGCTCAAGTATGGTGACCACAAATAAAGTTCCTACTCTACTCATATATTTTATATGTAGAAAAATAATCATAGGATTATTCAGTTTATACTGGGATTAATGTGGAGATGGAATTCTATCTCCGAGAGACAATATCCTCATTCAAATCTAAAATTAGTAGGGAATAGGATAAATGTCTATTTACTTTTTAAGGATGTTAGTTTGTATGATAATATTTTAGTTTAGTGCCATGTTCAATAACGTTTTGATTAAGGGTCTACATAGTAAGGTTCAATTCTAATACAAGTAAATCAATTGATACCAAATAAGCATTCTACACGTGGAATTAAATAGTTCAATAATAAAAGCAGAAGTTATGTTTGTTGGTTCATATGTGATTGAGGTGCTACTTGTTAGTAACGAATGTGTTTAAATATTAGTCGGGCACCTTATGCACATACTCCTCCCGCTAATATTGAAGAAGACGAAGTTGAAATATTAAATTTATTTAAAGGCATTAATACATATAGATATGATGCAATGGGTTCTTCTAGTAGTAGTATATGTACCGGACGTAGTCAAATATTGGATGCAAGTCCAAATGTATTGCCTGCTTAATTACTTGATTACTTTAATTATAATATGCCTAGTAATGTATCAATTTAAAAAAAGTTCAAAAGAAGTAATTAACTTTCCATGAAAGTATGAACGAAGATGACCTGTGGTTTATGCGATTGCAAATGACCTTCTAATACCTTCGATTAGCACTGTAACTTCGAAGTCTGCTTTTAGTGCAGGTAAGAGGGTTTTGTCCAAGGTTTGGAGCCGACTAAAAGAAAATATTTTGGAAACATTAATGTGCTTGAAAGATTGACAAGATTCATTTCCGACTATAAGATAAATATACTGAAATAGCATGTTATCAGGTAAGTGATATTTTATTTAACTATATTAATTAAATTTGTTATTTTATAATACTATTTTTTATTTTTTTAAAAAAAAATTTGTACACGCAACAAGTTCTTGTACAATTTTCAACTTCGCCTACTCGAAATTTAAGTAGACATTCACAAACCCGAATAAAGGAGGGGACTCTACCTAAAAATAAAGGGGCGAGCCACGAGCTCAAGGGTCGAGCTGAGCTAGGCCCTCGAGGAACAAGCCTAGGATTCCAAATGAGCCATGAGCTCGTGGGCAATATGGTCGAGCCGAGTTTTATAATTATGTTTGAGTGTATTCATGTGTGGGACTTGACCTATATCGGACTAATTACCATGGTAGGTACATATATTTTCTCTATTTATGTTGTCAAAATGTATAAAATTCATATAGTTAAAAAGTACAATCCTAATTACCATATGCATACCGTACATTTACGTGTATGCAGTGTAAGATCATCTCCAATGGTACATCAAATTCGATGTAATATATTTAATTGGTGCAACATTATTTACACCAAATTTGGTGTAAGAATATCTCCAATGGTACATCTATATCCTTTTAGATGTAAAATTTGGTGCTCAGAGCATCTCCAATTTTTACACCAAATTTGGTGTAACCATTAATAATGCTCTAAGAAGGTAAAAAAATATTAACACAAACTGAGTGGGGTTAATAAGTTAAG